AGATAAAATAAATATATTTTAAAAGAAAAATCAAATTAACGCTTCTGCTTTCCCGGTGATTTAATTCAACATTTTTTCTTGGAAGTTTGGAATTTTCTTTTAGTATGTTTGCTATTGTTTAGGAGAACTTCAAGATCACAGATACAGCTAATGAGGACAGAAAAATACATTAAAATATTACATATAATATTTAAAATATTTGAATACATAGCTGAGCCATAAAGCAAGAGGATGCCCACAGCAGAGAGTTGGATTTGAAGTTGGATGTCCTTGGCAGTGAGATTGCACTGGGCTCCCATCATAAAGCCAGAGCCAGGAAAGCACGACTCCAGTAAAACTCCAGTCCTTGGCGGAAGAACTGACTATACATCTTTCCAGCATTATCTCTATGCTGTGGAGATAGAGCACACTTTTCAATAGAAGGTGGTCATCTCTACAACAGTCCACCCCTTTGGTCACCAAATATTGAGCACACTCTTCTTCCCACACTGAACATACTTTCATCTCCCAAAGGAAGAAAAACTCTAGTCCCAGCAAGTTACTGCATCCAGTTCAGAGTCCAGAGGTGAGTCCAGGGCTGAACTGGCACAGCCCTATCAGATAAGGATGTGGCTCCATGTGACCCAGCACCACAGAAACTGATGGACGTGTTACCTTCTCTCAGACCCCCAACACTCCCACTGTGCCATTACAAGTCAAGGAGAGGACAACCACAACAGAAACTTCCCCCTCCAGAAAAAGACTGACAGAGGACACGCAGCATTCAGTGGTCTGCAGCAGTAACTAAATCAGATGGGCAGGCACTGTGAGGATTCTTCTCTTTTCTGCAGCTGGGGAATTTCCTTGATTAGACCTCATTCCACTTGTTGGTGGGATTCCTCTATCCTTTGTTGCCCTTGGATCACCTTTCTGGAGGTTCCTGCATGTCCATTATTCTCCTTGGCCACATCGTGGTGAGTGTTGGAGATTACGTCCTCCTTGGGAGTCTTAAGATTTCACAGCCTACTTCCTGCCGGTGCCAAATTTGGAGGCCAGAGATTGTTTCAAACTGTGAAAATCTTTTTAGCCAAGGTTCATGGATTCTTCTGCAATATAACCTTCTCAAAATCTCAGCTGGCTTATGATCTATTTGCTTCAAGTCGGTGTCATAAGCCAGTAGGCACACCCAGCCTTTTCAGATCTTTCCAAAGATATTAAGTCTAGTTTATAACATTAATGTCTCACTCCCAGACCTCTCTCTCTCTCTCATCATGGCAGTTTGAGCCACCAGACATAAGTGAGAAGACTCAGTTCTTTGTTGCTGGGTTTATTATTGATTGGCCTTTAACAATTACACCCTTTCTTAATGTCCCTTATTTAGAGTTTAAGAGCAGGTGGCTTCTCCAACTCTGCCACTCTAGTCCTCTCAGACCTCAACAAGAGGGGCTACTTCCCTCGGCTCCATTCTTCAGAGAGTCCCTCTGTCACTCACGATCTGATACTCAGCCCTGGCACAGCATAACTCATAGACCCAAACAGCTGCTCTCATAACTTACACCATTCAGGCTCCAGGAATACACTTCACACCTCTTTCATATGTCATCACAACAAAGTAACTACATCAGAGAGTCATGAACTCTTGCAGGCTATCACTGCCGATGTCAGAGATGGGCACTAGTTTAGAGTGGGTGGAGGACTGGAGGAATGGAAGTGCTTAGGAAAGAAAAAGACTAACTTGTTAAATCTTTTCTCTCAACGTGAATTCGGCAGACTCTCACACAATAAAGTATCATTTCCCAGTAATGTCAAATGTCCATAATTACTTTACTTTTAACCCTTTATATCATTACTGTCAAGAGAAGTAATGTAAAATCTTATTATATCCACATAATTAGTAATATTAAAATAAAAATTATATCAAATGTCATAAATTTTGTGTCAATTTTCTTACACATGTAAATATTATTGACCCACCAAAGAACACCTAAAATACGTGCAGTAATTAGTCATCTGTGACATTTGTTGACTCTCAGTCATTACAAAAACAGCTTTACATGATTTTTAATATTTTGTTACCTCAGTTTATAAATTTCAAATATCTAGACAACTGTATATATACCTCTCTTTGTACTCTGTCCCCAGATCTCAGGAAGGCAGGCATACCTCTAAGGCCTTAAATTTTAAGGCGCTCTCTATTCCTTTTCATTTGTGTGTGCAAACTGAACAATTCTTGTCATCTTAAACATTGCTTATCACCACGCCAAAGTAGGAGGGGATGGGGAGGGAGCTCTTGAGGGTCTTAAATCAGCAGTTCCCAAGATCACAGATACCTTCGCTACACACGACCAAGAACTGGTCACATAGCTTAACCCAGGCACAAGGGGCCAGAAGAGGAGAACTGGAGAGATCTGGTCGGCACAGTTGATGTGCTATGTTCCTGTCTTACAGATAAGGCGATCCAAGTCTAAGTAACCAAGGTCACACAGTCACACAAGCAAGAGAGTCAGAATTTAAACACAGGCAGTTTAAGTCATGAGCCTGTTCTCTTAACCACTACGCAACACAAATCCTCCCGGCATCTGAAGAAATCTTGGGTATGGCTCTGGAAACGCACAGGATGTAAAATTCGGGTTTAAGTTGATCTCATACAGTTCTCAAGGACACAAGGAACTCCAGCTAATGTCTAAGAGTCATTTTCACGGTGTTCTGACCCTAGAACCGCACATGCAGCCACATGATCTCAGATACGTTAGTGCAAATGTCACTGAGGAGATAAACACCCAGTGGCCCTGCAGGTTCATGCCCTCAGCTCTTGCAGTGGCTGAAAAAGCAGCCCCTTCAGCGGGTCTGAGCGAGCCCAGCGGAAAGCAGCTTACAGCCAAAGGCTGAGTCCTGGAGGCTCTTTCTCAGCCTCCAGACGTCACAATTACATCCACCAAGTGTCCCCACTTCCTCCCCTCTTCCCTATAAATACATAAGCACTGCAAGCCTCCCCTCCCGGAAACCGGTCCAGGCAACACGCCCACTAGGCTGCCCCAAGGCCACCCTTTGGTGAAACAATGAGAGCTCAGGGCACTGGTGCCCTGCGCTCCTTCTGTTTCTAAGGTTTTCTTTTTCGCCAATGAAACTATCTTAAATCTGTATCACATGACACAGGTGACGTGTGTACCCATTCACTACAAGACACATCTCTGAACACCCAGGAATCCAGAATGTATGCTACATACATATTTTTTCTTAAAAAAACAGAAGCACCCAGGGAAGGAAAACAGAGGTGATGACTTCAGGAAACTGCCCCAACTCCTAGGCCTGGGGGAACAAAGAGGAAGAGACCGAAGCTGTAGGGCCTAGAGGTTGAGAAAGGGTCCCCCAGAGCTGCGACCCACACCTCGGTTCTGGGAGACGGGGACCAATTCCTGGGGCGACATGAAAAGGGGAGCCAGCAAAAAAGGAAGCAGCAACCCCTCTCCTACCTTCCAGCTTCCCTCGACGGAGTCCTTCTGCTGCAACGCACCACAAAGTTTGCTGACAAAGAAGTGTAGTCTGCAGAGTCCCGACCCCAGCATCAAAAACGAGTTTAGAAGCGAGGAGGCGGATCTGAGAGACAGGCGCTCTCTCCGCTCGCCGGCGTCTCCCAGACCGCCTTGCTGCCCCGCGGCACGTGGGCGCGGCACGTGGCGGCGGCACGTGGCGGGGGCACGTGGCGGTGCTTAGGCTCATCCAGTGAATGGAATTCACGTGTGCGACTCCCGGGTCACGCCCTTCTTTTTTTCCCTTTCCCCTGGCTGCGATGTCCACGTGAAGCTGAGCCACGGTGACCCCACAGATGAGGTTCACAACGTACAGGTGGTGGAGTAATAAAATTAAAAGGGCCTGAGGCCCTGAAGTCACCGAGTCACCTGCATTAATGCAGAAAAATGTTAATTCAGCAGAGACTGTGAAATTGAGTGAGAGGGAAAACCAACAATACCACATAATAAAGTTGAGTGAAAGAGCAACCAACTTCCAATTGTATTCTCTGTACAACAGATACGTATAAAACAGAAAGAAAGAGAGGCTGAAAAAGAGACGAAAAAAATACATTAGGGAAATGCAAACT